CTCAGGCTCAGGATGGGCAAATTCAGAGACAGAAGGTGCGCCAGAGGTTATCAAGAGGGGATGTTCAATTCCTGGTACCGGAAAAAAACAAAACAAAACAAAAAAAAAGGCAGGACAAAGGAGAAATGGACTGTTCTCTCTCAATGGGTTCAGTCTCTTTATCAAGAAATGAAAAAGTTCTAGAAAGAGCTCCTGGTGATGGCTGCAGCATTGTGAATACACTCACTACCACTCAGCTGTGTACTTATGGTTAAACCGATCACTTCCATGTACATTTTGCCACAATATATAAAAGAAAAAAGAAACATACACAAGTATATTCCCTGGGAAAGAAACTTTTCAGTATATCACTAAATTTAAAAAGAAACCCTGGAAAAGATATTACCTGTTTGAGAACTGTCTCCCCTTCTTTGTAAATGGTCAACTAGCTCATTCTCTTACATAATCCATTGAATAGAATTCTTACTAAACAAGCAGTTTTACTGAGGGGCTGTAACAGCAATGCGCTGAGATGACAGAAAATGAGGTGGGTCCTGCCGCGCCGCAGTACAGCTTACTTGAGGACCCAGCTCACAGGAAACACTCCCCAGAACGTGATTATGTGCTTATCTGTGTCACAGAAGGATTAAATGGGCAAAAGTTACACAAAATGAGTAAGAACCAAACATGAGAGATGGTCTTAGGAAGGAGGGCTTTGCAGCTTAGATGGAGAAAGTCGCCCAAAGGTCTCCGAGGTTCCGAGGTGGGGCTCTAACCCATCAATGGACTGACCCACCGCTAAGACCCTAACTTGACAGCATTACTGAGAGGCAATGGGAACCTGAGAGCTGGGGCTTGTCCTAGGGACACAGCCTTGGGAACATCACCTGGCTGTGGCCCCTTCAAGCTCCTTCCCTTTTCTCCTTCCTGGGCTCGTTAGGGAGACAGCCCTCCTACCACGGCACTGGCCAGCCATGGTCTGAAACTGAGCCACACTGCATCTTTCCTCCTATAAGCATTTTGCTCAAATGCTGACTCACACAGAGGGGGCTCAAGCTAAGTGGTAAAAGACAACTGAGTTTTGAGTACACAGAGGCGCAACTGACATCAGGGTCGCAACTACCAAAATGACAGCGACACCAGGCTAAAGGGCCAAGGACCTGCAGACGAATACAGGCAAAGGAGGCCTGCAGGAGTGTCCCATCTGCTAAGTGGCAACTCCATCCCTCTTGCTCTGGACCAGGTGATGTGCTTCTAGGGGTGTAACTCCCACTGCAACCATGGCAACACATCTGTCTCCCTCCCACTGGAGAAATGCTGCCATTTGCAACCCACTTCTCAACAGCCTAGTGTGCCTGGGGTCTGTAACCAGTACAAAATGCTCAACATCCTCTCCATCTTCTATCATTTTCTTTAATAGAAGCTTCATTTAAACCAGGTGAAACTAAAACTCAGTGAAATCATCTTCAGTCATTCTCCTTTACTTTCAAGAAATGTTTTCTTTTATACCATGAGTATATTTCTTAAAATGGGCAATAGAGTTTCATGAAAAAAACCTATAAACATGTACATACAAAAAAAAAAGCACATACACACAATTGGGCATTTTCACAATTCATACACAACCCAATCCTTCACATAAGCACATGGATTATCATCTTTGCAAACACTCTCTTTACTAATCTAGCTGTGTAACTTTAATACCTATAAATCTTAACAGCGTTCTCCTGCCTCCTAACGTATGTGCACAGATACTTAGCATAATTTAAAGTGAAGAATTAACAGTGCTGATGTATCAAGTTCCCGTTGCTGCTACCTAAAGTTTCGTTCAACTGATAGTAAACAATGTGGTGGGATCACTTTCAGGTAAGCTCGTAATAAAACACTTGGTATAAGTAAGATAAGTAACTAATATTTTAAAGGACATAGAGGCACTAAACTCAAAACAGAAAATTAACTTCTTTTTTAAAAGCTTCAAATTTTTAACCAGTAATTTGAAAAGCATCATAAAATTTTTAAAGTTAAAATAATTTTACATTTAAAAATTTACTATCAAGAATAGGAAAAGCTATGTGGAATTTTTTATCTGTAAGTTTTTGACCTAGTAGGAAAAAAAATCCAGAGAAACAAGATTTAAAACTTAAAGATGAGTTAATCCCCATGCAAAATGTAAGTGTCATTCAAAAAATTCAAACTACTATTCCAAAAAAATTTCATGAACTACTTACTGTGCTTTAACATACACAAAAGGTGCCTATGTGGAGACTTCTCCTTTGCAACGATCACATCCATTCTCATGCCTTAAATACCTATACCGCTGGGTGTGGGGGCACGCAACTGCAACCCCAGCAAAACTGGCTGAGGCGGGAGGATCTCTGTGAGTTTGAGGCCAGCCTGGCCTACAAAGGGAGTTTAAGGCCAGCCTGGACTACACAGTGGGATCTTGTCTCAAAAAAACAGAAATAAATAAAACAAAACACCCATACCCTGAGGACCCCACCTTTTGCTCCAGCCTGGCCCGCTTCCCCGAACTCAAGTCATGGACCCAGGTGTCTGACACATTCACCTCAATGCACCAGGCTCCTCAAAGGCAACATGCCCACAAGGAAACTCCTGCTGTTCACTTTCTGTAGCCTCCCCAACACTCCACTCCTCTACCGCAAAGAAAACAAGCAGGTGGGCGTGGTGATGCCCACCTGCAATCCAGGTACTAGGGAGGCTAAGGCAGGAGGATCACAGTGAGTCTGAGGCCAGCCCGGGCTACACAGTGAGACCCTGTCTCAAAAAACAAACCGTGTTAGCGTTTGCTCAGCTACCATTTCAGTATGAAGCAACTTCATTCCTCCAGTTACTCAGTCTGAAACTCTGGGCATCCCACGTCTAACCAAGAGCAAATCCAGTGGGCTGTCTCTGCAGGTATTTACAGAACCTGACCCTCTACCCACTGCCACTCTTTGGCCGAAGCATCATCATGTTGTGCAAAGGGTTCCGAAACGCAATCCCTGCTTCCTGCCTTGCTCTCCCCAGACAACAGCAATCCCAGAAATTCTAGGGAAACACGCATCCCATTACTGCCTCTCAAAATTCACCAAAGGCTTCCCAACCAGCATGCGCACAGGTCAAAATCTTTGAAATGACCTAGGCCCTTTCAACCAGGCATCTCCCCCATTCCCATTTTACTCCTCCAGCCCTCCTTTCCTCTCTGCCCCAGCTGTTGCTTGAATCTGCAGGCTCTGCCTCAGGGCCTTTGCACCTGATCTTCCCTGCAGAAATGCTTTGCCCCACACTTCTATATAAGGTCTTTATTCAAATGCTTCCTTCCCAGCTGGGCCTCTCTAGCCACCCTAACTAAAATCACATCTCTAGGGGCCGGGGATTTAGCTCAGTGGCACAGAGCCTGCCTGGCAAGCACGAGGTTGTGCGTTCGATTACTGGTACCGGAAAAACAAAAAAAACAAAAAAAATCACATCTCTGTTCTTTTATACTAAAGTCTCCGATGCACTTTATACTTTGAATGGCCCTTTTAGCGGTACATAACTGTGTATCATGTGTTGATCATTTAGAAAATATGGATTCATGGGCTTATGCAGGTCTCTCAAATAATACATTTCATGATGAAACATCAAAATATACATCTGTAGATACCAACATCAATCAATGTGACAGGAGCCAATACAAGTTCTCCAAAATTCTAATTTTCACTGTAAAGCTAAAATTCTGGCAGTGTGTGTTGCCAATGATAAGATTTTAGCTCTCCATTGAGATTACTGGGTTACTGGTACGCACATTTTAAATTCTAATAGATTCAACCAAAACTCACTGAAAAGTCTGTATCAATCTTTACTATCTAAGGCTGCATAGTCATCACTACCCAAATATAAATAATTCCCTTTCCCCCTTTTCAAATACTGAATTTGGGAAGATCGCAGGATATTATCACATTTGCTTGCCTAATACTAATGCTAAAATGGAACTAACGTTTCAAGGTAAGTAAAACCCAGATACCTAGATTTAATTAGCTTAAGTGAATACTTTCTGTAAGAAAGCAAAACCTCACCTGGGCATGACGGCGCATGCCTGTAATCCCAGCTACTGGGGAGACAGGGACAGGAGGATGCCAAATTTGAGACCAGCCTGGGCAACTCAGTGAAACTTTTTTTTTTTTTTTGGAACAGGGTCTATAGCCCAGGCTTGCCTTGAACTTAAAGCAATCCTCCTGCCTCAGCCTCCTTAGTGTACTGTGATTACAGGCATGCGCCATCACGCCTGGCTACTGAGATCTTTTAAAATAAAAACTACAAAGGCCTGGGGATACAGCTAAGTGTTGGGACTGCTTGCATAGCATGTGTAAGGCCCTAGGTTTAATCCCCAGGACTAGAAGTAAAAAAAAAAAGTAAAATCTCCGCCAGGCCTGGTGGCATGGTGGCAATCTATACAGGGAGAAGGGAAGATGAAAGTGCCTTCAATGGGGGGAAGGTTACTCCTTCAGAAAGGTAAAATAACTATATGCTGTGCATCCCCCATTCAGGAAGAATGCTGCTTCCCCACAGTTTCAAAGTGAAGATTTTCAAGTCCTACTAACACAGTAACTGGAAAGGTCCAGGGTATTAGCGCCAACCAGGATCTATGCACAAACCACTTTGAGAATATGATGAGAATTCTGTGTAGACAAAGTAGTAACACATCCACACAGGCACTCAGGACAGATGACAGAACTATGTGCGGATCCTAAGAAACCAGTGCAGTCCAAACTCCCAAGGAAAGTGAGGCTCTGGAACAGTAAAGTGGCTTGTCCTAGGTCAACCGTGAATTAGAAGCAAAATCAGGCGAAAAACAAGAAATTCAAACAAGTTTTGAATAAAGTCATCATTTTCTTGTACTGAACAAGATCCATCCGAGACAACTACAGTGACAAAAAAGCTAAGCAGAACTGGAAGTACTGTCGTTTCAGATACTCCTTGATCGCCTAAACTGAATGCATAAGGACAAACTTGACCAGAAATCTTGAAAAAGCACTCACCATGCTCCACAAAAACATTGCAGTGTGGACCGCCATGCCTCGATGACTCCTTTTTCCCTGCTCCTTTGATAAAATGCAGGGCGGGCAAACTTGGCCTTCTTTGGTCCCCAAGAACTTTTCCAGGCTGCTGCCCCATAAAGCAATGATGGGCACCCCTTGCCAGAAGAGGGACCAAGGTCTTCCAGAACAGTCAGTGGGCTTAGAAGGAAAACAGTATGTAGTGGGGTTTCACATTCAGCAACTGACGCCAATCTCAGAAAAATGTCTTCCGCAAGGAAAGGGAACACAGTTCGGACTGACACATGTAAACGGAGTTCCAATGATTTCCACAGTTTATCAATTTTAATTACGATGCAACCCAAAAGTTTCTTGATCCGAAGTACACTGTACGGACTGAGTGATTTTCTTTTTCAAGGAGAAAAACTCAAACAGAAATATTCACAGGGGTTGCTGAAAAGGACCAACGACGCTAAATTCACTTCACTTCCCAAGCATAAAGGAAACGCTGACCATTTTCGGGTGCTCCTGCGGGAGCCACCGCGGCCCTATCTCGGCTTCTCCACCCTACACTGCTCTCCGGAAGAGGACACTGGGCACACGGACTTCACAGAAAGCTCGCCCTCAGGCAGACTGAGCAGGAGTGCGTCGCCAGCAACTTTTAAGCCCGCTTTTTAAAAGGCCTGTGAAACCAATCTAGACTTTTCCTTTCCATTAAAGTCTGTGGCTTCGCCGGGACCAGGGGGGCGGAAGGTGACATGGGAAGAAGTCAGGGCATCACAGGCTCGCGGGGGTAACCTGGCGGACAGCGGAGGCCGCCTGACAGCAGGGAGGGGCTATGAATGGGGGGCTCCGTGGCCAAACGCGGGGCCGGGATCCGCGGCAAAGGGCGGCTCGGGGGGAAGGGGAGGCTCCCGGGGCAGGGCATGGGGGGCTTACTCCGGGGTCGACGCTCCTCCAGCCTGAGGAAACAGGGTGTCCCAGGTCGGGGAAACCGAGACTACCCCGGTGTCCTGATCCGGGACCGGCGCGTAAGGGACGAAGCTCTGGCGGCCCCGAAGTCAGGAGGCCGTCACGGGGGGAGGAGGCCCGGTCGCTTCCGCCGCCCGCAGCCCTCAGCCCGCAGCCCGGGGGTCTAGGTCCGAGACACCCCCTCCCCCGGCTCCGGACGCCGCCGCCGCCGCCAGCGAGCTGTTACATTCTCCGAGCTCCGCCGAGGGAGCCAGGCTTCACCGGCCGGCAGGGGCCGTGGACCACCGAGGGGTTCGCTCGCCACAGGACGGGGACCTGGCTCCGGCTCCGACGCCGCTCAGAGACAGACACCGACCCCCGCGGCCGCCATGATGGATTACGAGCCGCTCCACAACGAGGCCAGGCCCCGCCCCCGGCCCCGCCTCCGCGACGTCCGGAGCTCGCCTCGTGGGAACCCAGGGCACCCCCGGAGCCGGTTTCCCGGGACGCCGCCGCACCTGCCGGCTCCGGTGTCACTACCCGCGGCAACTCGGTCCCCCACGACCTTTTATGTGTGGCTTTTCAGATCGCAAGGTGAGCGGTAAGGAAACGCCCGCCTCCTCTGCACTACCATTGGTCCCTGGGAATCCGGATCAGACCGCTGTCCTCCTTCCCATTGGCCGGAGCAGCAGTAGGGCGAGAGCTGCCAGCCAACCGCATTCGGCGCCGCCGCGGAGCGTGCCGGGAGCTGTGGTCCGCGGAGCCCCCGGGTCCCGGCTCCGGAGCGCCAGCCCCGCCGTCCAACGAGCCGGTGGATTGTCGCTGTAGCCGGGCACTGTCTCCTTTGCGGAGCAGTGAGACCGACAGAGAGCCAGAGCGAGGGGAAACTGCGGATTGGATTTTCCTAGACCGGGAGTTGGATTACTTCCTTGAGCCCCTTGGGAGAGAAAATTTGGCCCGTTCCCCTACACACACACCCTAGCATAAACACTGAACCTAGCAGAGGACACAGAAAGCAGGTATTTGATTGTTGCTAAAGAAGTCAGCGGCTTGTTTGGGGATATCGGGAGGTTCACTCATTGAAGAAACAGCGTCTGTTCAGTGTATGCCAGCTGCAATCCTGGGTATTTGCAGCAGAATGAACCTTTAGCCTGAACACATGAAGACGCATTCGCAGGAACACACCTTAATGTTAGCGGAGAAAATGCCCCATTTGGGGATTTGCAGGCCTGCAGCTAGCACCTTCCGCAACACCTCTTCTGCAACTAAAAAGCATCTGGTCCCCTCTTCTTCACCCTCCCTACACCCCATAGTGGGGCATCTGACCCATTCGTACAAACCGATCTGCGCGATCTCGCCTAACCCACACTATAGCCCACTGAGGCATGGACCGGTAGTGACATTCCGCGTCCCTCAGGTGGGACAGACGTGACTTACACGGGTCAGTCAGCTAGTATGTGACAGTCTCTACGGCCCAGCCTTACCTTGCTCCAAATACCATGGATTTTCTACCGCACCATACAGTATCAAATACTGTAACTCGAGCTAACGTTACACAATTTATTTTTCACAAGTTGCTACTGGTATTAGAGGGCACCGCAGCTGCTGAATGTTGTATTACATTCAGCTACGTACTTTGGAAATATTTCTGTGGGACTGAGAAGTGGCCTTTTCCATAACGGTACAATGAGGGGCGGCGGGGGGAACGGTTACTTGAAGGCACTGAACGTGAAACGCGGAAACTTGTGCACACTTAGAACTGGAATTTCAAACTTCAGTGCCCTTTGTCCCCCTTTGATTATCTGACCCATTACCTTATCCTGATTACTACTCTAATTTGTTTTTGAAGATTTGCTTTCCTTTTATTGCTATTTATGCTTTTTAAATTTCCTCACATGTGATTTTTTTCTTTCCAGTAGTGGGGATTGAACCCAGAACCTCACAGTGCTAGGCAGGCACTGTATCACTAAGCTACATCCCACTTCGACATCTCTGTATTTTTTCTTCTCTGCTTTAGCTTAAAATTAGGCAACCAAATCAGAATGCATTCTAATACATCTTGTGCTGGGATACAGCAGCTAGGGGGAAAGACAGACGCCTTATCCTCATGGAGCAGATGTGGAAAAAGAGACAAGCAATAAACAAGTAACATTCCAAAGATCAATCTCAGTGTTGGAAATTTTTTTTTTTTGGCTTTTCGTCTGGTACCAGGAATCGAACTCACGACCTTGCACTTGTCAGGCAGGCACTTTGCCGCTGAGCTAAATCCCCAGCCCCTCGGTGTTGGAAATTAAACTCCTGGATCCATAACCTTTTCCCATCAGCCCAACCGTCCTCCAGAGGAGTGCTTTATGACCCTCCCCAGAGTCAGTCTGTTCCTGATTTTTGACGGTTGTTTATAGGCTCAATCAAGCCAGTCACCTTACTTTGTTGGATTTGACTTATAAGCAGGGGGTCATGGCTGCTTACTTTACTAGCTTATCATGAGGATCAAACTAGACTTGATCTTAGTCAAAAGGCACAGCAGCGATCATAAGGCTTGAAGTAGACTGGTTTTCCACAAAGATTGAAGTATGTGGTCCCTGTACAGGTCAACTGTATTCGACCTAAAGGCTCATCCCTAATTTCTACTTTGCACTTCTGTTGTTCCCTAGTTTTACGTGACTCCCAAGCCCAGACTGCATTTTTTCCAAGAGATGTAGTAGACAATTTTAATCCCTGTGTAACACAGAATACTTTGAAGGACTTAAAACTAGAATCCAGAGCATAGCAATGCTGACAGAATGTGGCCCAAGTCTCTTTAAGCTCATATACTTTTATTAAAAGTGATTCAGTTTGGTCTAATCTTGTTCTTTGATAAATCAAAGCTCAGTGTAAATACCTGCTGCAATTACTTAACAAGGGCGCCCTCTAGTGGGTCATGGAAAGCCGGCAATCACAAAAAGATGCTTTCAGACATGTTTCCTCTAGGTATTTAAGGGTAATCACTGATCACTGTTCAGCAGACACTGAAGAACACAAACTGGCAGCTTGGGAGAAGCCAGGCAAGGAGGATACAGGTGCTAGGGTGGGACTCCAGATGCCACTCTTTCGCATTCCATTCTGCCAGAGGTATACAGCCTGGGCAATTTTCCCAAGAGCTACAGGGAAGCCAACCTCCATTTGCAACAGAGAATACTGTTATCTGCAAATTCCTCAAAATAGATGCTACATGGGATAAAACAGAAGTGAGATAAGAAGCTGTCTATTGGTTAACGTTATAAAGGAACATTAATGACAAAGAGCCAAATTGTCTTTAAAAACTGTCAAATGCTTGGGCTGGGGATTTAGTTCAGCAGCACAGCGCCTGCCTGGCAAGCGCGATGTTGTGAGTTCAATTCCCGGTACCGGAAAACAAAACAAACAAAAAAAACCACATTCCCACAATAACTGTTAAATGCAGTGTTCAAAGTCACTACTGCTTCCAGGAATAGCACCCCTGTAAATCACAGCACTCAGGAGGCTGAGGCAGGAGGATCGCCATGAGTTCAAGGCCAGTCTGAACTGTACAGTGAGACCCTGTGACCCAAGCGGAGTAGTAGATCCCCAGCCAAAAGGGAGTTGTGTCTGAGCCCTCTTTCAACTGTATCCAGCATGACAAGAACAAAAACCAACATTAATACATTGGAAATATCAGAAAAGTTCACCAGAGATGTAAAATAAAACACATTTGCATATACAGTGCCTTTAAAAAAATGTTTCCAGGGCTGGGGATATAGCTCAGTGACATAAGCGCCTGCCTGGCAGGTGCAAGTTCCTAAGTTTGATCCCCGGTACCGCAAAAATAAAATAAAATTAAATTAAAAGTAAAATAATAAAAAAATCTTTCCCAAAACCTAAGTCAGGGCACCATTTCTAAGCAGCCATCAGAAATACAATGCACAGGAATGCTAACGTTCCTCAGCGAAAACTACAGCATCTTGCGTTCACCTTTAACCCTAAGTAGGAGTGTGTCACTGCTTTTATTATAAAAGGGAAACAGCTTTGTTTCCCATTTTTCTTGCTTTGTTTTCTTCACAGAAACAAAGTGCACCCAAAAGTACAACGGGCCCAGAACATTCATTTTCTGTTATCACAGGGACTTGACTTCTTACAAACACCCCTCAAAGGCAGGGCAGGTTCAGGCAGCCAGGTGCGGGTCCTTTGAATCTGTCACTTGAAGGATCGCGCATGGGAAATGAGATTCCAACCAGGCAGACGCTGCTGGGTGAACTTTATTCTTCCATCTGTCTGCCCGGTTAGCTTTACCAACTGTATCCTCCTGTGTCACACTTGCTCCTGAGGAAGAGGAATGGAGACCACTTGGGGGTCAGGGATGCCACGTTTCCCACCAGAGCGATTTCAGGGGGACAGTGCCTCATGAGTGAGGGAAGACAAAGGATGCTCTACATTATTCCAGGAGGGGAAGCCATTCGCCGGGACACTGTGCACCTGAAAGATCCGAAATTATCTTCTTTTCTAGGATTTGCCAGGCCTTTAGGTCCACAGGCACTGTTCAGCCCCCGGGCCCCTTGTCCCATAACAGGAGAAAGCAGGCCTGGCCTGGGGGCTAGGGACAGCCCTCTGCTGTTTGTTTGTTTGGTTTTTGGTACCAGGAATTGAACTCAGGACCTTGTGCTTGCCAGGCAGGCGCTTGTGCCACTGAGCTATATCCGAGGCCCACCACTCTGCAGAGCAGATGAGTCGGGAGTCTGTGGGATCCTGCCTGGGCTGCGCGTGGGGACCACGGGGTGGACCCTCCCTTCCCAGACACGCTCCAGTGCGACACAGTCCCATCCGCAGAAGCCTCTCCTCATCCCTCCTGCTCTAAAAGCCTCTGGCGAGTTTCCAGCACGATCTCCTCCATTACTTCCGGCTTTAAGATATCTTTGATCTGAAAAAGATGAAAGGTAAGGTATGTGTTCATCAAGAAGCCAGCCACAAGCAGAGCAGCAGACCAGCTAAACGCAGACACCTCCTGTGCCGTCCCTGTCCTTCTATCAGAGCAGGAGCAGGGGTATGGCCTGCCGCAGCCAGCCTAAGGGGTCAGCAGGACTCCCTGCGGGGGAGCCCGAAGAACAAAGGCACTGTTCTGACATTCATGAAAACACGGCTGAGGATTTGGGAAGGGGAAGAGGAGGTCAGGGGGCTATTGTCACAAAGGAGTCGCTTCCAGGCCCCAGCCCCACCCCCAAATCCTCAGGCTGAGGCTAGACAGAATACCGCCAGTTCCTGGGGACAGACCTGCGGGACACTAAGGGACCGGTAAAAGTGCTTGGGACACAGGACTGCGAGCCTGAAGAAACCCACAGGCCAGTGAGAGGAAGGGAGGTGGCACCTGGTGCGGAAGGGACGCCTCATAGCAGTACAGAATGCTGGTGTCGTACAGCATCATCCTCTGAGTCACCAGCGAGACGACGCAGTTCCGGAGCCGGGATATCACCTCCCGATCCGCCAGCGACACGGGCTATAGGGGCATGGAGGGACGGGGACAGAACCAACGTGAGCGGTGTCCAGTGCATCACAGGAGAGACCGTTCAGACTGGGACAGCACAGCTCCAGGATTCCACACAGGCCAACAGCAGACCCAGGGAGAGGACAGTGTGCGCAGCTTCCTCAGGGGCTGCTGGGCTGCTGTCCTGCACCTTTGCCACCGCTGCCAACAAGGAACCAGCCCCAAATCTGTCTCTCCCGGGAGGAGAAGGCAGTTCTGCCACCATGCCCCTGCTTGCTGGAAATCCACGCTCACCTGGGCTACGGCAGTGACACGCAGTCGCAGACTGCACAGTGACACGCCCACCCCCCAATGCTGGTCTCCTGCAATTAAACCACCTAGCAACACTGCAGCTTAATTTATCAGTACTCTCTCTTTTTCAATTAATTTTTTTTTTTTTTTTGAGACAGGGTCTCGCTATGCAGTTCAGGCTAGCCTTGAGCTCCCTTTGTAGCCCAGGCTGGTCTCGAACTTGCAATGATCCTCCTGCCTCAGCCTCCCAACTGCTGGGATTACAGGCGTGCACCACCATGCCTGGCTGATTTATCAGTACTCTCTCTATGCAATGAGAGAGAGTAACAATGAGAGAGACTAACACTGACATCTCAGCACACATCCTTGTCATTAAATGGCACAACACCATGGTTTAAAAAGCAAGAAATTTCAAACAAGGTGTGGTGGTGCACGCCTGTCATCCCAGCTACTCTGACTGAGGAAGAAGGTCATAAGTTCAAGGCCAACCGGGGCAACTTTGTGAGACCCCATCTCACAACTGGCTGGCACCCGGCTCAGTGCAAGGCCCTGGGTTCGATTCTCAGTACCAAAAAGGTAAAAGGGAAGAAAGCAGCAAACCCCGCCTGGAGCTCTGCACGGTGCTTCCTCACCTCCAGGTTTGCGACGAAGCCCCCCGCGTCCTCGTCTTTGTGCTCCGGGGTCGGGTAGATCCAGATGAAGCCGTTGTTACCCAGGATCACAGAGGCGCCGCACGGCAGATCGTGGAAGTGGGTCTTCTGCCGCTTCACCAGGGACGGGGAAACCTGCACCAGCACGCCCTGGCCCAGCTGGAGAGAGTGGGGCCGGCACCGTGAGCCCATCCTGACAGGGACAGGCGGCTTCCAGACCGCACACCAGCTACAGCCAGGTCAGCGTGCGCCGCAGAGCTCAAGTACGTTTGCGCAGATCGTATTTCCACGTCCCAGGCTGTTTGCATGTCTCAAAGGGTGACTGTCATGCTCACCTGTCACTTCCCTTTGTAGGCACTGCTGTGAGCTAACCCAGGGCGGCAGCCGTCAGGGACACTCCAGACACGTGGGTGTGCGCCAAGCCCTCCCACCGGCCAAGCACTGCGGTCCTGCCCCGTGACCCAAGCTCGTCCCTCACCCCAAGCATCCCTGTCGGCAAGGGTGGGGTGTGAGCCAGGGCCAGTCCTGCGGTGAAGGGTCTGCAGGCCCCGCCCTGAGGGCCAGCTGCTCATTGCAGGGTCTCCTCCCCGTACACCAACGCGGGTGGCCGCTGCCCCTCCACCACGGGAAGGGCTTTCCCTAGAGCTGAGAAACTAGAAGCGCGCGCTACGCAAGTTGGCCCGTCATGTGTCATGTAACCTCACAGGCGGCAGAACTGCACTTAGAGGCTCAGGTAACAATCATGTCTTTGTTGGTGACACAACCTGTTTTACTGAGCTGCCTGCTGACTGAGACTCGCTGCCCTTCTTGGCATCCCCCAAGCGGGCAGAGCCCACGCCTGGGAGGAGGGGTATTTCTGCCAGACAGGAAAGGACAGATATGCCCCCTCCTCCCACCAAGCTCTGCGAAGGCCTCCGGGCGAGGGGATGACAGCCGTCAGCACTCAGGTGCCAGGGCTCTTCTGGTTGGCGTGGGGGCGCTGTGGGGATGCGGAGACGGACCGGAAGCCTCAGTGGGCACACGGCAACAGCAAGCGCGTGACTTACTTTTCCGTATTTCAGGCTCCTCGTGTGCAGAGAGACGGCTCCGTCAGAGAACACTGCCTGGACCTCCGCCTGGCCAGGGCCGTGAAGGAGCAAACGGCAGGCTCGGTGTCCACGTGCACGTCCCGGCCTCCCTCACCGCCCGGCCCCACCCTGTCAGCAGCCGGCACCCAGCGCTTAGGCGGCCTAAGAGGACATCCACGTGACCTCGCCTCTCCCCTTGGGCGACATGGACACCCTGATACAAACACCTTTCTGCTCCCTGGGATAAGATTTAACACTGAGAAAATCTGAGCCTGGACTACAGCATGGGTTCCCAGGAGCTACATGACCCAGAGAAAAGAAAAGTATCCAGCAGAGCCCTGGACCCAGGCCCAGGTCTCGGGTCCCTGAGAGGATGACCAGCTCCTCCGTGGCAGACACAGGTGAGCGTGAAGCCCTTTCCAGCCCCAGGGAAAGCGCCCGTGGGGACACGGCGCACAGGATACACTGATGAGGTCCCCTTCCTGCAGGAAGCCTCGCATGGCAAGCTCGTCCTCCGCAGATCTTCTCCTCTGAGACAAAGAAACGACGGTGCTCAGGCCCAATCCCCAGACCTCTTCCCGCTTCCTTCTCTTTCACTGCTTCAGATCTGTGAAGCCAACCCTGACGCCCAGCCCCTCAGAACTACGCTAAGAGGAGGTGACCCGAGGTACCGGCGCCACGACTTACACCTGGAAGCCCCCTCTGCCTCTTCCGTCCCTCCCTGCTGAGGAACAGTCAAGCCCCCTGCCAAACCGCCCGGGCGCCCCCTGCGGCTGTGCCTGCACGGCCGCTCCCCTCCCTCTCCCACTCCCTGAAACATTCAGGTTCTCTCCACCCCCCAGCCATCAGCGCCCATGCCAGCGTGAGCTGTGCTCGCTGAAGTCAACCCTTTGCGCCACATGCCCGTTTCCCCTGCTGCCAGGCACTGGGAGCACTCGTCTCCCACCCTGCTGGCCTGTGGGGTCTCAGGGCTCTCCACCCAGCGGCCTCCACCCTGGCCCCCCGAGGCACGGCACAGCCAGCCTCACTGTACGCGGACGCTGGGCTGCACCACGCTCTGTCCCGAAGGCTGCAGCTGAGGCGCTGGCATCACCAAATGCCACTCAACTCACAAAAACTAATCAAAAGACAACTTTTCCAGGAACACCCACTGCGCAAAGCCGATACACCCCGAAAAGGAGACTCATTAGCAGCAACATCTGAGCATGCCTCTCCCCAACTCTGCCGAGATCCCTTCCCAAGGCTGCTTCTGATCTTACCACACACCAGTCACTGCCCGCAGTGAGACCTGGGCCAGAAGTACACGCAGGCAGCAACCTTCACGACAAAGTAACAGGCACAAGCTCAGCATGGGACAGAGCTCCCTGTGCAGCAAGGGCGCCACCGCTGTCACTAGCGAACGGCACAGGTCAGGACACAGCAGGACGCTTACCAGCTCTCCGCCTGGAAGGTTCATGGACGAGAGGAGCAACACCGAATCCAGCCTGGAGTTGGTATCCACCTTCCACCTCTTCTGCTGAACCTACAAGCAAAAAGGTGCACACCTGGACACCGCTTCAGGAGGAAGAGCTCACGTCATAGGAGACCAACAACTGCGGTGGTGGCGTATGCCTTTAATCCCAGCACTAGCAGGGCTGAGGCAGGAGGAACGCCCGCCGCAAGTTCGAGGCCAGCCTAGGCTACCTACTGAGTTCGAGGCCAACCCGGGCAACAGAGCGAGTCCCTGTCTCCAAAGAAAAAAAAACGGTGGTGGGGGGGATAATAATCCCAAATATAACAAGCTAGAGGTCAGACCACAGGCCCATGTAATGAATGCCTTTTGAAAACAACTCCATGTAGACCAGCTGCCCCACCCTTTAAGTACCACCGGCCTTTACTTTGAACAAACCAATACGACATCAACTTACCTCAGTGATTCTCCCTACTACAATGTCTCCTACTTCACCGTTGTACCTGGAAGATAAAAGGTCATGCCTCAGTGAACAGGCCAGCCAGGGATATAGCTCAGTGGCATAAGCGCTTGCCTGGTGAGGGCAAGGTCCTGAGTTCGATTCCTGGTACCAAACAAAAAAAAAGTGAACAGGCCTTCTCACAGACCGAGCACCCATGGAGATTTCGGTTAAACAGGACAAGGGACCTGGGTAAGCGCCGTGCTTAGCAGACTCATAACTGTGCTGCTTGGACCTAGCTTCAGAAAGTCCAGTTCTGCTGCCCGAAGTGTCCTCTAACTATCCTTGCACCAACCACGCGTTGCAAGTAGCTCCCTTAGTCAAATGTCCCTATTCTGCGGAATTCATGACAGTAGGAGGCCTGCGGTGTTTCCTCGTGTGGTGGATTAACAACTAGGGGTCACCCTGGAACACCGAGCTGAACTGAGTCAGGTGGTGCTGGCTGTGGAGGGCCCACCTGAGGACTGTTGCTAACAGCATAGAAGGAGAACTGGAGGGGAAGATGGTGCTGTGGATTCCCCTGGAAAAGCCTGTCAAGCTGGCTTTCTTGATGCGAATTCGGCTGTTCTCATCACCAGGGGAGCTCAAGTCCTCACTGTCTCTGAGGAAGGCTGCGGTTCTTTTCGGGGGAGCTCTGGTCCTTACTTTGAGCATCGCTCCCTGGCTCCAGTGCGGACCCCTCATCGGGCTGGCACAGATCCTTCATCCCACTGGCCTTTGGACCTTCCCAGTGCAGATCCTTGACACAGACTTGCATGAGATATTGTGGGCTCTGAGCCTCCAGCTGGACTCAAGGAGGACATTGCCATGGGTTCTAGGTCTTTAGCTGGGCTCGTGAAGGACACTGCCAGTGGACCCAGGCCCTCAGCTGGATTCTTTGGGTCTCTGGTGTGTGGACAGATCTCCTGCACTCTTGCATTTGGCTCTTTGGGTGAATACTATAAAATAATCTTATAAAATGTGTGTCCTGTATTAAATCCTTTCCCTGGAAACCCCAACTACAACACTTGTGGAATGCAAATGGGCTCTGCACCGGCCAGGGCAGGAGAAAGCAGGTTGAGCCAGGCCACTAGGCCACTATTCAAAGGGACTTGCTGCTCACTTGCCGGCTCCTAAATTCTAACAGAAATCCTCTAAGGAGATCGTGCAGTTACCCTCACGCAGTGCAGGCAGTAACCGAGTCTCGGAGCAGGCAGGTAACACAGGAAGACTCTGAAACTGGCACTGATTTCTCTCACCCTTCCTACGGTCAAGTTCACAGCCCCAGACCTACAGCGGGACAGGGCAGGTGGGTGGGGGGTACAGGGTAGGTAAGGGAAGGCAGAAAAGACCCGGCCAGACCCAGAGAATACACACCTTCCACTCTCACCTGGTTTTCAAGGCTTTCACACAGATCAGCTTGTTCACTCTCTCCACAGAGCCGGCCACAGATGCAATGAGCTTCTCTTCCCCCATGTACGTCCCATGGCCCCTACGGCAAGACAAGGACACAGCAAAACGACCCCAGTTAACACCCGAGTCCTCAGCCGCGCAGACAGGTGTGCTCCTCAAGCTCCACAGGCTGCACCTGCCCTAACAGCCGGGCGCCCTTTCTCCTGGAGCTCTGTGGACATCTCCTTGCTCTTGCTCAGATCTGGTCATACGTCACTTTCTCCAGCAGCACAGCGCAGCAGGTCCCTTCCTCAGCCACCATTCCTACCACATTCCCAAGCCCATTCTGCTCACCCCACTCTACTTTTTTTCCCCAGTGTATTTCTCATCAAGTGTTTTTAATCACTTGTGGGATTTACTGTTTACCTCTTTCTTTCTGTTAGAACATAAAGTCTACCACTTTGTCCACTACTATACTTCAACCATACAGAACATAAATATATTCTGAAAGAATGAATGAACGAATGAGTCGTGTGTGTGTGTGTGTGTGTGTGTGCGCGCGCGCGCGCGCGTGTTTTGCAAGGGATTGAATCTAGGGCCTTTGTCCTGAGCTACATTCCAGCCCTTTTCATTTTTAGACAGGGTCTTGCTAAATCAGTCACTAAGTTGCTCAGGCTGAGCTTGAACTTGGGATCCTCCTGCCTCAGCTGTCTATAGTGCTTGGATTATAAATATGCACCACTTCGCCCAGCTGAAAAATGAACCCTAAGATTTCTTAGCACCCAATAACCTTAAACTAAAAGCTTCCAGGGCAATGCCATAAATGCTGTGCTTGTCTTTCTATGTTCATGGGGAGGCGATGTACCATTGCCAATAACGTTGACGATGGTGATATACTTGTGGGTTTTGCTTTTCTTACATTATTTATTTAACCCTCACTGCCCTACCAAACAGCTACTGTTGTCACCAGTGTCTTACTGACTGCGGGGAGACAGGAGCTACAAATATAGTAAGGTAGCAGGCTTGAGACTGGGCAGCCTGGCCCCAAACTCTGTCCTCTTTATTCTAACGCACACTTCTGCCCTTCTACCCTTAAACACACCATCTGCACAGTGGGTGCCTGTAGCACTGTGCATGTTTGCCCTAAGTCCAAACAGTTACTGACCCCAAAGCCAAGCCCAGGCTCTGACACGAGGAGGCCCAAACAGGGATGCCCATGTCCCCTGGGACAGCCGAAAACCGAGGACAGGTCCCTGCCCCTCGCCCTCTCCGGTGCTCCTCCTGCGAGCAAGCCTCAAAGATCGGGACTTCGGAGCCAGGAGTGGCGGCTCACGCCTGTAACTCTAGCACTGGGAAGGCTGGGGCAAGAGGACAGCCCCGGGTTCGAGTCCAGCCTGGACTATATGGTGAGTTCAGGGCCAACCTGGACTACACTGCGAAACCCTATGCCTCCTCCCCCGCAAATCTGGTCTTCGGGCACAGGATTCAAAACAGCCGGCAAAAATCAGGAGGTTTCGGAGCCAAGATAAACTCGCAGGACACAGGGACTGCGGGGACACGGCGAGTGGGTGCTCAGGAGGCGCCCCGGGCCCGGCGGGGCCTCACGGTGCCAGGGGACCAAAGGCCCGGGCTGACGGCTTGCAGCCCACGTGCAGCGCCCCGCAGCCGCTCCTTGCGACCGCGGGCCCCGCAACCTCGCACGTACCGCATGAAGCCCGTGTCCGTCGTGATCGTGTCTCCCGGCACCACCAAGTGTTTCTTAGTATCGCGGCCCAGGGCTTCACTGAGCGGCTTACGCGCCACTGGAAGTCTCATCTCCATCGCCATCTTGGCGCCAACAGTGTGCGCAGGCGCAGCTCGCCCGCCACGCCCACGGACGCTGGAGGGAGGCCAGGGCTTCGGAGCAGCCGCCAATGGGAACTCACGGGGTGGCCACCATGTTGATTATTGGCAACCATGACGTTTACCTAAGGGGAAAGAAGGAGCCCAGTTGCCATGTTTACTATTGGCAAGGGAGCACTTGTGGAATAACAGAATCATTAACTACCGTGGAATAAGAGAATGTCACGTTGTAGGGCGTTTGGCTTTTTACCCAAACTGCCTCGTCCTGGAACTGCTGAGTTTCCGTACAACTCTAAGCCACTATGATCTGATTATTTTATGTAGGAGCGCTCAAGAGGATGAGGGTGGGAAATCTCCAGAAAACACTTTCTGAATGAACAGAAAAAAGAGCCCAGCCGGGCGTGATGGCGCATACCTGTAATCCCAGCACTTGGGAGGCTGAGGTAGGAGGATCATTGAGAGTTCGAGGCCAGCCTGGGCCACATAAGTGAGTTCAAGTCTAGCCTGAACTGCATAGTGAGACCCTGTCTCAAAAAAGACCAAAAAAAAAAAAAAAGAGCCCTTTGCGTACCGTTCCTAGTGGTAGCGCAGGATTCTGCGTTTCAGCCATCAGCTCCACTCCCCAAATAGTGCTCCCTATGCCTTCTCTTCCCCTGCGTCGTTTACAACAACCCGAATTTCGACCTCAAAGAATTGGAAAAGCTAGTTCTCCGCCCCTAGTTCTCCGCCTCTAAGGAGGAGTACGTAAAATAACTTGCACCCCGATAGATCAAGCCTGGAGCCTCCTGAAGACCTATCAAGCCATTGTTTTCTAAATCTCCAACAGGATAGTCTTCTCTTCGCCTAAGCAAAGCTCACGTCCACGCTGTCGAGAAAGCTAGCCCTGCCAGGCAATCGCGGACAGACACGCTAGCGCCCAAAGAAAGGGTCCCGGAGTAAGCGGGCAGCCAGACCTCGCCTCCTCCCTGCTGGCGGAGTCGCCCATCTGCTGCGTCGGACTGTGACCACAAGAGGGCGACGGTGTCCTTTGAGCCAGCATGGCCTAGGCAGGCGGCTGAGGAGCCAGGCCTCAAGAGGGTCCCTAGACCCACAGGGGGGACCTCATAATGCTGAGATTTTTATACAGGAGGAAATCGAGGCCCCAAAAGGACCAGCATTCCCATAAGTAAGTGGGGGCAAGGCCGATGCAGGTTCCACCTACACCAGCTTTGCCCTTGAGTCTGCACTGCTTACCAAACGCTGCCTGAGTGTTTTACTGTCCTTGCTAAGCCCTTCGCAAGCATCCCGGTATTTATTCTGCACCGTGGGCCCGTCCAGGACGCGGGGCTGAGGTCTCCTGGTGATGGGCACTTAGGGCCAGTGAGCCCTCAAAACAGCCGTGCGCTGGGACTAGGATCCAAGACCCCACATTCGCCACGCCGTGCCTGTCTGCCCCACGCACAGGCACCGGGAGCGGCCGCCTGTCCCTGGGGCTTGTTACCTATGTGGATTTCAGAGCCCAGGAGCAGGCGCGGAGGCTCTGCAGAGCGGGGTCCGGGAGGCGGCGATGTGTGTCCTGACTCACTATGTGATATCACTGACCAGCCAGGTCTAGCCACCCATTCTTCCCACCTGCCACCACCTTAGCCTGGTCAAGGTCATTTATCCCTGCGGCCACTATAGTAACTCCTGGCTCATCGCCCCAATTTTACATTGCGAGCGCGCGCGGGCGCACACACACACGCACACACACACACACCATCCAAACTCCATGCAGCAGCCAGAGGAGCTCTTTGAAACAGATCACAGGGGCTAGGGATTTAGCTCAGCGGCAAAAGCGCCTGCCTGAAACAGATCACATTAAATCACATTCATGCCTAAAACACTCCTGGTGCTTCTCCCTACACTAAGAATAAATCCAGACTCTCATCATGGCCGCTGCCTGTCTCAGCCTCACTCTGCTCATGCCCTGCGGCCATGACGCAAGAGGCAGCAGCCAAACCCACCGGCCTCTCGGGGTCTCCTGCACCACACTCCCCACTGCCTGGCATCAGCCGGCTTTGGGCTTTCCTGTTTGCAGTCTCCTTTCCCAGGACGTTGTACGACCAGTGCCTTGTCCTGCTCCAGTCTTGCTCAAATACCCTCTTCCCAGAAAGAGCTCTCCAACCTCCTTCTCTAGATAACTGTCCAGTCCCTTTCCTGCCCCTTAATCCCATTTTATTTCTTTTTTTTCCCTTGCATTTGTTAAATTTTATTGATACAGGGATGGGGAGATAGCTCTGTGGCATAAGCGCCTGCCTGGCAAGCACAAGGTCCTGTGTTCAATTCTCAGTACCAAAAAAAAATGTATTGAGGCATTTTAATACAAATACTGGTCACATTCATCATAAGGAATTTGCACCTGTGCATGACCTATCTTCCTTCCTTTTTTCCCATTCCGCTCCCCTCCCTTCATCACTTTTCCCCTCCTTATTAACAAAAGCTTTGTTTCCATTTTTCCTTCTATTTTCTTTTTCTTGTCCTTTCTTTCCTTCCCCCTCCTCGTTCCTCTACTCATTTCAACATTTTTGTCCCATTTCCCAATATCTATTACACCTTTTAGTCCTTATTTACATTTTCAGTTTCTCACACCAGAGAAACAGCGTGGTATGTACATGTGCGTCTGATTTATTTCTCTTAAGAGTATGGTCTCAGTGTACATCCAGCTAGCTAGAAATGTTCCAAACTTATCCTTTTTATAGCAGAGTAGTACTCCATTGTATAAAAAAATCCACATCTTGCTTGACTATTTCTCAGTTGATGGGCTTTTGGGCTGTTTCCAAGATTTAGCTATTACAAACTGTGCTGCTATAAACGTGGGTGTGCATATATCACTATGGTATGATGCTTTTCTTTGGGGAAGATACCAAGAAGAGGACTACCTGGGTCAAATGAAACCTCTAGCTTTAGTTTTTTGAGGAATTGCCACACTGATTTCCACAGTGGTTGCACCAGTCTACACTCCCACCAACAGTGGAGAAGGGTTCCTTTTCCCCCACAGCCCCGCCAGCATGTTATTGGTTGATTTCTTGATACTAGCCATTTTTTCTGGAGTGAGATGGAATCTCAGCATTGTTTTAATTTGCATCTCTCAGATGACCAGTGATGGGGAACATTTTTTCATATTTATTTGCCATTTCTATTCTTCATCCGAGGAGTGTCTACTTGTTTCAGACCCCCATTTTTGAATTGGGATCTGATTTTTGAGGGGTTTATTTTTTGAGCTATTTATATAACCACAGATCCTGATAGTGGACATTCTTGTCTTCCTGATTTTAGTGTGAAAGCTTTCAGTTTTCATCCATTCGGTGTGATGTTGATTGTTGGTTTGTCATAGACGGCCTTTATCAGATTAAGGTACAGACCATCTCAATTTTCTTTATGGTTTTTATCATGAGTGGGTGCTGGACTTTATCAAACACTTTTTATGCATCTGTTGAGATGATCATATGGTTTTTGTCCTTGGCTCTGTTAATACGGTGTGTTACATTTATTGGTTTGCATATGTTGAACCATCCCCTCATCCCTGGGATGAATCCTGCTAGGTCATGGTGTACAATCTTCTTGATGGTCTGCAGCATTCTGTCTGCCAGTATCTTATTGAGGATTTTAGCGTCTATGTTCATGAGGGAGACTGGCCTGTAGTTCTCTTTTTCTGGTTGGATCCTTCTCTGGTTTGGTAGTAGGGTAATGCTTGCTTTCAGGAATGAATCTGGGAATACTGCTTCCTTTCAATTTCATTAAAGAGTTTGAGAAGTAGTGGCATTAGATCTCTAAGTTTCTTGTAGAATTCAGTAGTGAATTTTGGGCTTTTCTCTGTCGGTAGGTTTTTAATTATATCTTCAATTTCATTGGCTAATACTGGTTTCTTTAGAATTTTTATGTCCTCTTGATTGAACTTTGGTAATTCATATGTGTCTAGGAATCTCCATTTCTTTCATGTTTTCCATCTTACAAGAATACAGTTTCTCAAAAAAAAAAAAAAATACAGGTTCTCAAGGTAGGTATTGATGATCTTCTGGATTTCTACAGGATTTGTTATGATTTCAACCTTTTCATTCCTAACTGCATGGATTTGAGTCTTTTCTTTCTTTTGATAAGATTGGCTAAGAGTTTGTCAATTTTATTCAATCTTCAAAGAACTAATTCTTTGATTCATTGATTCTTTGTATTGTTCTCTTAGTCTCCATTGTATTAATTTCTGCTCTGATCTTTCTTTCTTTCTTTCTTTCTTTTTTTTTTTTTTTTTTTGAGACAGGGTCTCACTACGCAGTTCAGGCTGGCCTTGAGCTCACTTTATAGCCCAGGCTGATCTCGAACTCCCAACGATCTTCCTGCCTCCGCCTCTAGAGTGCTGGGATTACAGGTGTGTACCACCCATGCCTGGCTTTCTCTGCTCTGATCTTTATAATTTCTTCCCCCAAATGAGCTTTGGGCTTGACTTGCTCTTATTTTTCTAGAAGGCTGAAGTTCAACATTAGGTTATTTGCTCTTACTTTGTTTTTCTGAGGGAATTCACCACTATACATTTCCCTCACAGGACTGCTTTCATTGCATCCCATAATTTCCAGTTTGTTGTACTGGCATTATCATTTAACTGCATGCCATATTTTTGGTGAGTACTGGGAATGAAACTCGGTACCTCATGCTTGCCAGGCAGGCACTGCACCACTGAGCTAAATCCCCAGCAGAAACTAATTTCTTCTTTAATTTCATCTGTGACCCACTGGTTGTTCAAGAGAGTATTATTGATTTCCATGTGTCTGTGAAGTTCTTGTGGTTTCTTTTGCCATTGATTTCCAATTTCATTGCACTATGATCTGATAATATGCATGGGGTAATTTAATTCCTTTGCATGTACTTAAGCATGTTCTATGAGCTAGTATGTGGTCTTTTTTAGAGACTATCCCATCTGCAAATGAGATAAATGTGTATTCTGGTGTTGTGGGGTGGAAAACTCTATAGACTTCTACTAAGTCCA